AATCGATAACTTGCTCCGTTTCCAAGCAATCGATAAAAATCGATATCGATATTCTGTTTTTTGGGCAATTTTGGTAAATAACAAGAGTTCGAGTCACCAAACTTGACATATAGCTTTAAAAATAGAATATATATATGCATTTGATGTTGGAAGAAGAGGGTTCAGGGTATCCCCTAGTCAGCAGCTCCCGACTAGAACCTCTTGCTTGTTAATTTTAAATATCTATGTCCTTTTTTAATAAGGAGTAATCCTGTAGGGCTTCCCTTTTTAGCCTTGCGGAAGTCGATATCAGTTGAAAACCTTAAGGTCCTTAATTTAAAAAGATACACATATATAACAATGAGACAAAGAATAATCAGACAAAATGTGCTTGACTATATATTATCTAAGTAAATGCCGAACTTAGTTATGACAATGTAAGAAATGTATGCACAAACAAGGCATGTGAAAGAACTGAACTGAAGAAGAAACAAGTAAAAATCGAGCGGGGAATCAAGTAGGGACTGGTTGGGTAGTTGGATGTGGGGAGGTCAAGACCTCGGCGCGCTGACAACTAATGAAAAACAAACAAAGCTTACATTAAGGAGCTCTCCAGCTGCTCAGATGTCTGAGTGAGCGAGGCCTCTTGAGTGTGTGTGTATTTTGCCGTGGTGTGGTGCGTGAGTCTGTCTGATAAGCTGCTGACATCGAAATGTGTATGTATGTGAAGATATGTGCAACATGTGCAAAGTTCAAAGAACGCGAGACAAAATTAAAAGAGATTAGTCTAGGTACAAGGGTGAAGAGAGAGGGAGTGAACAAGAGAAGGGGATGAAAATTAGAGAAAAAGGACGAGATCAGACATGAAGCGAGAGGGATAGGCTGAGATTGTTTGAATGCTGCTCAGGGCTGTGGACTGAACAGAAATGAGCAATAGATAAAAGCCCATTTATTTAACACTTATGACAGCTGATTTGGTACACACAGACGTGTCTGATGTGCGTGTGTGTTTTTGTGTGTGTCAATTAATTGTCACTCTAATCAACTTAAGAACAAATTGAAACCCTTAGTTATCTTAGTTAATTAAATAAATTGAATTTTATGTGCAGCAAAATGTAAATATTATCTACCTTATTTTCTTTATTAGGTAAATTGATGCAAGGTAAGGCTGAAAACCAAAAATCTATTTATGCAACAACACAAATATGATATTTTAAGCCATAAAAGGCTAATATTGTGTTTACTGATAGTTCATTGTATATTCCAAACACTGTCGTATTTATTTCAATTGTTTTTTCCCTAAGGCTAATAAGAAATTTAAGAGAAATTTTACTGTTTAAAGCTGGATCTTCTCATCGTATCGAATTTAGTAAAAATAATACACATTTCAATGTTTCTCAATAGCAGCAAGTTAATGCTTTTAAAATTAAATTCAAAATAAAGTACAGTGGAAGCTCGCGAAATATAATGGATATATTCGAGGAAACAACTAAACAGGTAATATTCTAACATTTTTTAAAGTTTTATATGGCATAGTCTTAAAGGGTTTGGAAATATTTTATTTTATTTTCCTAAGGCCAAACGAAAAACATTAATATATTCATATATGAAATTCCATAAATTAATTTTACTTCAATCCTGGACTATATAATTAGCATTTACTCTAACCGAGCACATTGACTATAACAATTGTTAAACACAGTGTTTAGCGTGAAGTAAAACAATTTAAAATTTAATTTTTATTTCACTTTATACCCTTCCAAACAATTACTCCATACTCATGAGCTGCTCAGTGTAACTCGTAATTAGTTTTTGTTAGGTTTCTATGGTAGTCTTTCGTGTACACTCCCAATCAAGTCTATAAATAATTTGAGGACAGCTTTACGAGTATTGTGGTCCCATTGATAAAGTGTTGCCTTCTGGGTTTATCGGGCGTACTTCGAACTTTGTTACAATAATCGCAATGCCATTGCCTTGGTTTGCCTCGCCCCCACCAGCGGCCCCTGCCGCTAGCTGACCTATAAAAAGAACAAGTTTGACACAGGTTATTAAGTAAATGTAACTGGCACACAGCTTGCCAATAAGCACACACACACTCACACACGCACACACAACGGCGCCTGTACACATAAACAATACTTTATTTACACTGTAATGGCATATAAAATGGCTGCCGTAGCTATTTGCTGTGCTTGTGTGCGCTCGTGTGTGTGTTTATGTGTGTGTGTCCAGTTGTTTAATTTCTACGCTTTTATTTTGCCACATTTTTGTGTGCTGCATTTGTGATGGGCGTGGCAGGCGCCTTGTGCGCTGCTCTGGCCTGGCTGCTTATTTATTTTCGTAATAACAATAAATAACATTTTTCTTAGGTTTTTGCTATGTGTGTTTATTTGTGAGCGCGCGCGTATGTGCGTCTGTGTGTGTGTGTGCTGGGCTCATTTGCTAAGTTGTTTTATGCGCCTGTCGCTTGTTTTGTGGCTTTTTGACATTATTTGGATTAAGAATATAAATCTTGCTCATGGCTAAACTTTTTTAATATTTTTTTTCAGCTATCACAACACCAACAGCAACGAAAAATAACAAATCTACCTTGGCTTTGCCTGCGGCTCTTATTATTGCAGTTGGGCGATTTGTCTTTGGCAAATACACGAGAGTTTTCCAATCTACAAGTTTAATTGAAAAGCAACAAAGCAAATTTGTCTAACACACAAATAACAAAGAGATAGCAAAATAATCGAAATAAACATTTTAAAAATACAATTTCTGTGGTTTCTTGCATAATTAAAACGATACCCAATGCCCTCCTGCTGCAATATATTCTCGTATATGTATTTCTATAATTTTGATACTGGAAAATAACGGACAATGTTGCATTGTTGTCTTGTTGCTGGCTTGGTTTTGTGCTGATGCCCTATAAACTGATCTAAACAGTTTATCAATAACGCCTTTCTACACTACCCCGAACTCTGAGATTAGGAAGTCAAACCACAATTTGGTATATTTACTCTTAAGTAGTATATGCAGATAAAATATTTAAAAGGAATATATATATTTTAGTATTCTATAGTAGTAACAGGGCAGCTCCTAGTCCAGCATATGCTATTAGAGCTCTGTTAAATTCTGCACAATTTATTTGACAATAAAATTGACAGGAATTTCTGTGAAAAATGCATGCTTTGCATGTGAAAAATGGAGAGAAAAATGTGTGACTACAGGTAAGGCGAAATTACCAAAATGTACCGCATATGTACACCCATGTTTATAGAATGTTGACTCTGCAAAATATATGTATATACACACACATAGCTTAGCCGAGGCATATCTGGGTAGAAGGTTGCGAAATTTGGGACTGCAAAAAAATATGAGACATTCACATCTCAGCAATGCGTGCTGAAGTGTGTGCTAAGAGTTGCTGCTAATGGACATAAAAATGAAGACTCACAGACTTAATTATGCCCATAAATGGGCGCTGCCAAATGAGTTTCTAATGGAGTGAGTTTTTCATGTGGCTCACATATTATAACGTGCATATTTCAATTAGACGTGGCCAATAAAACATAAAAGATGCTCGCTGCCTTTCAAGCCGCAGGCATTTTAAACTCCCAGCCAGCCACAGCAAGAATCAGCTTTAGAAGCAACTGGCTTTTGCTCCTTTTTTCAAATTATGTGAAGCGAGTGCTGCAAAATAATACCGCAAGGGGGCCCAAGCACATTTGGCCTCTTCAAACACATACACAGAGAAAGAGAGAGAGAGAGAGAGAGAGAGAGAGAGAGAGAGAGGGAAAGAGATAGAGAGGGAAATGGAGAAGCAGTCCAAATAGTAACACATTTTTTGAATTGTGTTTGGCATTTTGCATGAATGAAAAGGCAACTGGGCGCCGGTGCATGAATAGCAAAAATTTCTGCTATGTGTGTGTTTTGTGCATGCACACAAACACACGCACACATACACGTACGCACACTTCAACAGTCCTTTTGGCTTTGGCTTAATTAAAACTTTGGGCGTGCGCGATATGCGCGCAAAGCGGTTGGAAAATTAACAAAATTGCTGAAGGGGGACTGACTCTGACTAATGCCGCCCACTGAAATTGCAGCTAAAACGTCGTAACGCCATTAGACTAAGCTGTGCCGCCATTTTCCATTTTCCAATTGCCTAGCTGCTGCTGCACCTGCCTAGGTGGGTGATATGCTGCGGAATGTGATGTGGCCTGGGGTTTGACTACGGCAGCAGCAGCCATAACATTTTGCAAAAATCGCAACTACGCTTAAAGCATGCCAAGTAATGGCAGCTATATGCGTACGTGTGTGTGTGTGTGTATATATATAGCTCAGCCAATATCCAACCCGCCCACCCACTCTCCCTCCGAGGAGACAATGCGACAAAGTAGCGACTGGCTGCTACACATTTTATTGTCTGCCAGCTTTGTTTATGAGATATGCTACCTTTTCGCAGTCACTGTGTGTGTGTGTGAATATTTTAGTGTACATTTTGCGCAAAACAGGCCAAATATCTGACAGAAATAGAACATACATGTGTGCCCGTTGAAGCATTTCAACCACAGAAGTCCCCCATTTTTAAGGTTTCTATTTTTATACGTTCACTTATTTATATATCTTACTAAAGGATATATGTATATATAAATTCTCGCTAGGTGAAAATAAGTTTAGACCTGTAGCTGTTGGCATCTAAGAGGCTAGCTTATTAATTAATACGATAATCGGATATATTTCTCAGTTCGTAGGGAAAACTTAACGAGTTTCTCAAAACTCAACCGAATTGAAACTCGAGCGGAAAATTTTTTTATTTCAGAAATGGTTTGGTGGAAAGCATAAAATGATCTTAAATAGGGAGATGCCAACTTAGAGTTAAGTTTAAAATGAGTATAGAATCATAAATTCAGATGTGTTAATACTTTATATCGATGGTATTTAATATTTGCCTATTTTTCTTTATTAATCATACATAAGTATATACAAATATAAAATACAATGGAAATAATTGCCTCTACAAGCTTAGCGGGTTATCTTCAAGTGTGTTTCTTTCTAGCCTCTTGTGGCTAAATCGTGGCTATATATTTAACATTGAACTAACAACAGCTTTTATAAATATAATACTTGGCATGTAGCACAATAATAAAAATGCTATAAAATATAGTTGAATAAGCGAATCTCAACTTGATTTCTTGTCGTGCTTAAGTTCCATTCCAAATATTGGCCAGCTGCAGCACAAATGCAGGCACTGTCAACTGTTGCTGCTGCTGCCGCAGTTGCTGGGAAGGGCTTTTGGCTTTGGCTGCGGTCGAATCTGGCGATGGATCTGCCACACGCTTGGCGGCGCATTGATAGACATAATTAGCCCTGCTCACCGCGGGAGCCGCTGTCCAGGCGACTGTTGCATTGGAGCCATGCAGCTGGTTGCCTGCTGCCACATGGCTGTCAGCTGTGCGCCGCAAAGCTGTTGGGCCCGCGCAGCTGCCTGTGTCGGCCAACCAGGGAGTGGCTGGCCGCGATGGCTGCCACATGTGGCGTGCGGCAAGCACCTCAGCTGCTGCTTCCGCACGCAGCGATTGCCTGAGGCAATGTCCGTTTATTGTCAATGCTGTGGGCATTCAATTGAGCTGATTTCGGCAGCACAGAGGCAATTGCAGCACTTACCTAAACATTGGCTTAGCCACCAAATGCACAGCAAATGTAGCTGCATCATGAGCCAAATTTCTGAATCGATATATGCTTTCGAAGTTTTCGGCTCAGTCTCGGAGCAGTCGTCAATGTTGCCTGACTAATTCAAGGACTGCTACTTATTGTTGGGCAAAGTTTATATAATACTTTATCTTTTGACATGTTTTTCAAAGCAAGCTTCGACGCGTTTTCGCAATTCGCTTCTTTTGCATTTTATTTTGAGACGCGTTGTTGTCGCTCTTGAAACTAAATCCATTTAAATTGACGCATTGACAATTGTTTTACCAATTCGATTGCATTTGTTTCTTGTTGTTGCAGTTGTTGTCGCACAAGTGCGACAACTTTTTTGAAATTCAGCTTCTTTGGCGATTATACCCTGCCATTGAGGTGTACACACATTTTATTATTGACTTTGCCAAAACCCTTGGATTGGATTTGGGATGAGTAGTACTTTATACAGATCCAACTATAGGTTTAGCCAAAGAAATGCTTAAGCGATTTCTCCGATACTTATTTGAATTATTCTAAGCCCATCTTTCAATCTGAACGCAAACCAAAATTTTAATCTGAGCGGAAAATAAATGGTGATCGGTTTCGTACAAATTTGATTTATATTTCTATACGTTCGCTTTAAAGATAAATTTTGTGATCCACATGGCCTGGTAGGTTCCCTCCTTTTTTTAAATACGCGAGGAAACTGTATTGAAATTTGATGCATTACATTTATTTTGGATACGCATTGCAAATGCAGTTTCAAAAGTGAATTAAGACATTTAGAATCATGTGAAATATGGATGAAATATGATCTGCAAATCGAAAGGTTATAAAGAGTATTCTTTCTTAAGCACTCCTAAGACTACATCATCTCTTGATTTTCGTTCATTTTTTGTGCTTTTATCTTGAGGTATTTTTGTTACTCAACCATTTTGACAACTGCTCGCTGTAAATGTTGCTGTTTGTTGCCGTTGTTTCTGTTGTTGCAGCTGACTGGCACTTGGCTTAAAGTTCGTCTTGGGCTCACTCAGCTTTCAGTTTATTTTCAGCTCGCTTCCTTCTTTCTTTTTTTTTTTTTTTTGAACAGTATTCGCTGCTTTGCATAGCCAGCTAGTTTATCAAAACATTTTCAAGTTGAAGTGCGGCTGCAAAAACAATGCGCTCAAGGCATCGATTTTCTCAAGTGCATAAAGGAGGTTGGGTGGGGCGAGCGGGCGACATGGGTGCTGTGAAAACAACTCAATGCATGGCACTTAAGCAGCTCAAGCAACAACAACATCAACAGCAACAACAGTGTAGCACTTGCCATTTGGTTTGAAGGTGCAGAAACTTCCATGACAGCAGAATGCAATTTGTGTGTGCGTCAAAGTTTGTGCAGCATTTACTTGCCAGCGTCTGTTGCTGTTGCGGATTGTGTGTGTGCGTAAGTGTGTTCGTGGGAGTATTTGTGCAATCAGTCAGAGCCAGTGGCAAGGCAAGGCAAAGCAAGGCAAATCAAGAACAGACTAGGCACTCTGCCAAGAAGCTTACGCACTGCTATTTGAACGTCTATGAATTACGGCTCTATCTAGCCCACCATTCATGGCCTTAACCAAATACAACTCTTGCCATACGCTGCGCTTTCTTCTCTCTCTCCCTCTAATTCATTGAAACACAACCGCTGAGCGTAAACTTTAGTTAATATTATTATGCAGTAGCAGCAGCAGAATATGCAACTGTAACTGTAAATATAATATCTGGATATCTTGGATAACACGAGTAAATGGACGAGGTGAGTGTAAAAAATAAATGGAGATATATAGGAAGCTGAGACATGATTATAAAATCTATATGTAAAATGTATAAATGTGCTTTTGTAGATTTATGAGTTGACTAAAACAGATTTTGCACACTCGCGGACGGAATGTTTCGCAATCATAATCTTCCGTAAAATCACAATATTCGTAAATTTCAATAGAAAGACAAGCAAATTAGTAGAAAATAAAGAAAAATATTTAAATGTAATGCCAAGTTCAATAGAAATTCCAGCCGAATTTAATACTAACTAGCTAATTTTACAGAGCTGAACTTAAGCCCAATAGCATAATATAGAAAATTGTAATCTTATGAGTTTTAACTTTAAACTTATTAGACTACCCACGCATTATGTATGCCTGGCTTGGAGTATCTTTCTGCCGTGGGCTGACTTATCGAGCGACCGGCTCGTGCCGGCACGGAAACAAAGCTGGCAAACGCTTGGCACGTGCATTTCATATGATAAATGTTTTTGGTGTCGTTGTCGGTGTCGTTGTTGTTGTCGTTGTTATTGTTGCAGTTGTTGCTCTCGCTGCTGTTGGTCCTGGCGTCGTCATTGTCGTTGTCGCCTTTGCCTGATTATGCAGCGTAGTCGCTGCCAACGCCAGAGTCGGTTACGCCACGGATGCCAAAAAAAACTAGCCTCGACTTTCTACATTCGCCTATTGCAGTCGCGCTCAAAAATAAACCCGAAAGCGAGCTGGATGTGAGAGAGAGAGAGAGAGAGAGATAGATAGGGAGAAAGCGTAAGAGAGAGAGAGAGAGAGTGCAGCGTATTATTAGCTGCGTCTCGCTCTTGCTCTGTGTCTCCTACTTTGCGGCTTAGTTTGTATGCGGTGTCAGGTTTCGTTGTGTGTTAAATTTACGCTGACATGCGCTAACTAGCTGTGTGTATGTGTGCGTGTATTTGTATGTGTGTGTGCCTCACGTTGCCATTGTAACTTGCAACTTAAATGCGCACGTGACGCTGCCTCTGCTGCTGCTGCTTTATTGCGTGCGCTGGTGAAAATTAAGAAGGTTCCATGCTTTTTCCCCCTACCTACCTACCTACAACACACACACACACACACACAACTTGTTGTGACACAGTTTTTGGCTGACAAATATGCATCGAGATGTTTTTTAGATAAACTTTACATACACATACGTCGTGGCTACAATCTGATAAATTCTCTGATCGAGGTAACATCACGTATACGCCAAGCTGTTCAAATATATTGTTAAATAAGTTGTGCTATTCTTTGCTCAAAGCTGCATTGATGAATTGGACATCTCCCTTCTCCACATAACATTCTGTATACGCCATGTTGTTTCAATAAATATTTTCGAAAAGTTATGTACTTCTTCTACGCTTCTCACGCGATACATTAAAATGTCGTGAGGGTATTTTCCCTGCCCAAGACAATATCAAGTATATGCGTTAGTATTTAAATGTTACAAGAAATAAAAAACAAACACACTTTTCTTAAGTTGCACTTCTCTCTGGTGGCTGTTACAATATTTTGCTAGATAATTTAGGCTAAATTGCATTGCTCTCTGGTTAAGCTAACATTACGCATACGCCATTGGTCTTTGATGCAATCAAGAAAGCGCTTAACACGCGCCTTCCATAGACGACAATCAGGCTGAAGGTTATATAAGGCTTTCAAGGACACACGCCTCGCAGCCCCAATACCTAAATTCCTGCCAACTTCAGATCGAAATTGCGCAAACAACAAAAACGCAAGGAAAGTAAAACCAAAAATAAAAATGCAGCGGAAAATGTTCGCTGGCACCGAAAGCAACAACAGCAAAACCGATAACAACAACCACATCAACAACGACAACGTTGTCGACATTGGAATTATAATCAGAAAACTGCGCGCAAACAGAAATTGAAAGTCAACATGGCTGATGGAGGAGCCGAAGCGCTTGGATATTGAAATCAAATCACAGCGTCGTCAAATGCATTTAAAGCTATTTGCATTGCATTCCAGCTCTAGGGCGGATCTGCCTCCATCTCCTGCTCCCCTCTATTCACACCCTCGGCTCCTGTCATGTTGCTGTCGTGATTCACGCCTCGCTGCACTCTGCGTGCGCCTTGGCATATGTCTCTTAATTTTTCATACTTCTCCGCAGCCCACTTCCCATTCCACCCCTTTCCTGAATTCCCAGTCGCTGTTGTCATTGCTGCTGTTTGCATGTCTGGATGGGAAAATTGATTTTTATCGCCTTGGGAGATACGTTTGACTGACGCGCGCTGCTCTTCATTCAATACCCAGTTGTTTTCCTCTCTGTTGTTGCTCTTGTTGTCATAAAAGTGTCAAAACTATCTATAGCTTCTTGAATTTGGTTTTAAGCTACTGATTAAAGCAGACTGCATCAAATATATTTTGAAAATAAATAAAAATACTAATTTATTTGATTTTTACTATGATGGCACTGCAAATAATCAGATATATCCTGAACAAGGGAAAAAAGTAATTCGTACTTTCCTCTCACAACTCACTAAACTAGATTTCTACTGAACATTTGACGTTCTGAAGCCGAATTGTTAATAAAATGTTTTAAAAGTATAGGCCTATTTTTGTATTGCATTTTTGTTTAAACTCTATATTAATTTCAAATTCGAATTAAATTTATGAAAATTAGTAGGTGTAATATTTATTGGTAATTTTATAATTAGTTTTAATTGATATGAGATTATTAGCTGTTGCACTTCGGCCTTTCGAGCTTAGTTACAAATATTGTTGTGCATATTTTCATTGAAAAGCTGTTATGTCAAGCATTGTTTTTCACAATGCACAGCAAATGCATTAAAATACAATTCAATTAAACTCAAAGTAAGTACCACAAATAAAATATTTGCCTTTCCTTTGGTATATTACATAACAATTTCAACAATTATTACTCAGCAATTTGCTGGCATTTGTATGAAACATTAACTTCAATTTGCCAGCCAAAGTTCTTTATTTAAATTATATTCATTCAATTTGGCACTTTTGCTGAACTTTTAATTCGCCTGTCGCACTGCCATTTACACCAATCTGTTAACAATTCATGAGAACTTTGTGTGGCCGGTGGCTTTTATGACATTGGAAATTAATAAAGCGCATATTCTGTTCAAAGTTTCAGTAAATTCGCTTGTTAATAAATAAATAATATATATATTTATGCTTCACACATATTGTCATTTTATAAAGAGAAATGCATAACAAAGGATAATAATCAAATCAATATAGCAAAAAAAAAACATAAAATGTGGAAAACATGTTCTCCACAATTTTCTACAGCGGGTTGACACCCACAAATTAATAATGAATATATGGTATGAATATATTTCAATTGTTGCACTCAA